GTTGGATGGGCTTTATGTAAATAGTAGAAATTTAATTTGGTAATAAATACACAGGTGAGACTTGACGGTACCGTAAGTGTAATATTTGTTTGTATCCTGGATCATGCACAGATGAAATTTTAGTGAAGTGATGAATGTACATAATTTTGATCAGATAGTGAGTATGATGAATGGTGAGTTAATACTGTTAGGGTAATTGATTTACTTTTCAAATATTTAGAATAATGACAAGCAAAGAAGACAACTTCAAATCTCATTTGTAATTTGGACGTAAACTACAAATGATACTAAGCGTAGTCCTAGGCTTACACATGAGCGCGCTACAAAGGCCGAACGAACAGATTTTGGGCCACATTATGATCTTAATATCTCGACCGGACATGACCGGACACGGTTAATTCGTGTACCGAATGAAAGATACAGCTTTCTACTTTCGTCTGAACTAAATTTTATTAACCTGCGACAACCGGGACCCTTTACAAACATTATTTATTGACATCACTTTCGTTCTTACAATAAAAATAAGCCAATACTTAATATTTATACTTAATATTTTCTCTATGCTCGGCCTACAATTATATTTGAAGCTATCTTGGGTCCGATCGTTCACACCTGTAGGGCCCACCCGAAGTTTTCATTACGATGATCAAGAACGTATACTATCTAGGCACTAGTCTAGGCTTAGATTGCTGCCGTCACTCTGCTACGTATACTACTACCTCATAACAAAGAAAGCGACCCACGCGGTGCATTCTTAAATTTTACAAATGTATTAGACGATAACACGATATTATCCAGACCTTGATTTAAAAGGCGCGCGATCGCGCCGGCGCTCCTCCGCGCTCCTCAAAATGATGCGAGGAGAGCAGTCATAGCGCTCCTGAATTTTCCTAGGGAGCGACAAAAAATACAGTTTCATTACATCTGTGTGTGTGTGTGTACCATCCAAGATGGCTGCCATAGATTTAGCCAATCAAATTTCGCTAAGCACCATCGTTTGCAATTGCGCCCTCAATTTACTCAGAGGGTTCAGTACAGCTAGCTACCCGTATTTTCGAGCGTTGCGGTGTTTCGGTGTAATGTACACGATTTTAATTTTCATTCCTTGGTACTTTATTTTTGAATAAGATGCTGATCCACTTGGCCTTGTTTTAGCTACAATAGTTTAATAATTTGTTATTACCATTACTCATTATCATTAATGAAATAATAGTCAGTCAGAGGGCTTTAATGTAATAATATGTATACTAAGCCTGAAGGGGGCGCTTTACTACGACGGCCATCTTTGGATGGTACACATACATAACTCTGCATTGCTGCGCCATCTTGTCAGCACTCCAATTGTTTAATAGCTCTATGGACTACTCATACAACAGAAAAAAAATGTCGCATGGAGTTAGTGAAAAATGGAGATCTAAATAAAAAAAACGATGTATTTCAGCAAGTATTAAAACCTTTTTGTTTTATTTTAGGCCTTCAAAATACTATTGCCGTAAAACCAAAATAGTTTCATCCATGCCGACTTGCCGATCGGTTAGCGTGAGCCCTGAATGAACTCTGTATCGCGATGTAAAACAAAATGTCGGAAAACTTTTCTTTGACGCATGCGCATTCGCATAATGTCTACAAACACACGCACATACTACACACAATAAAAAACAAAAGAAATGTGAGGAGTGATTACAATAGTTCCTATTGCATTACATGCATAGGTACTAATAATTATTATTATTATTAATATTATTAACATTATTATTATTATTTTTATTATAATAATAATATTATTATTATTATTATTATTATTATTATTATTATTCCTATTAATATCAGGTCTATTATTATTATTATTATTTTATGTCAAACATCAAATCAAAACCATTAATTTACTGCAATAATTCATTATCCATCTTTATTGTGTATTATTAAAATGTTGTGAACAAATATATGTTAACTATTATAAACTTATTTTGAAAAATGAATTGTATTTTTTTCGTTTTCATAAACCACAAGCTGCATTACATTTCAATGTGACTAATTAAACCAACATTATTTGTTTAGTCAACTGACACTCAATTGTTATTAATAGAAATATTATTCAGAAATAAAGGCTATATATTAAAATAACATGAATATTAAAACAAATATTAGTATTCATGTCGATTATTTTATAAACAATAAAAATGACGAAATTATAAATAGCCTGCTTCCCTGATTTACACTTTTCTCCTTAACTCCAAGCAGAAGTGAGACATACTCTTGTTCTTCAGACAACGTTTGTGACAGAACATCTAAAACTCCGAAGTTGCTGAAAGTTTCCACAAACCCAGTTTATTATTACAGAAGCTACATTTTCCTTTACGAAAGAAAGCTGGGGTGTAATTGCCTGTAATATCGATGTCTCGAGAAAGGGAACGAATGATTGCTATGCTATGGTTGTTATTCGTTAAAGCATGCTTTGCATACAGGAACAATTTAATAGGCATCGCAGTTAAAATGTTTATTAGCATACCTATGATAAATACATAAATTTATTTTTTTTTAAATAATAATAAAGGAAATAAACAAATTAATAATAATCTACAATTATACACACATGCCAATTGTGGCTCCAAAAATTTGTCGGGGGTCTTATTTAAGGGGCCGACTAGGGACCTGGCACAACAATCCTGATAGGGTTTGCAGAGGGAGTATTTTAGAAGGATACAATGCTTATCCTTAATTTCATTTCATTTTATTTCTAATTTTAACTGATAACCATGCTTTCAAGTGTGTTTTTGTCCAGCTTTGTTGTCTTCCAATATTTTTCCTTTTAATTTGTACACAAATGAAGCTCCTTCCTTTCAAATACACAGTATGTACACAGGGATTTGGACTAGGCTTCGGAAAACTGAGTTTTGGTAAACTAGGATTTCATGATGGTTCGCAACATCCTGGTCCGAGTAATTTAAGAATCACTCGATTGCAGTAACGGAGCTGCTTCACGATCGTTGTGCATTAGAAATATTGGTTGTTGTAGACAAGAAAACGTCCCTGGACTACGAATTTGACTATTGTTGCACAACGTTGACAAATTTTGTATTATGTATTAAGTGTGAGTTTTAATATGCCATGAATTACTGCCTTTCTGAGCCGTAGGCCTAATCCATCGATTTTAATAGTACAGCAGAACCCCTATGAGGGGACACTTTCAGAAACAAAAAATTGCCCCTTAATTAATAACATTATGTGTGACCCTTGAATAGGGGTATCCCTATTTAAAAAATACTAACCGAAAATATTGAAATTGTCCCCATGGCAGTGATTGAAAACTGTGTTAAATTGATCATTTGGCAAACTCATTAAGTGTCCCCGTCAATTTAATAGGGATATCCCATATCTCTTCCATACTAGGTCGTAAATAGGTCGAAAATATTGAAATTGTCCCCATGGCAGTGACTGAAAACTTTGTTAAATTGGACATTTTGGGTTTCGGCAAACTGAGTTTCTACAAACTGGGATTTAATGATTTCAGTAAACAACTGGATTCGGCAAACTGGAGTTCAACAAACTGGTTGGATACCTTCTTGAATACTATTGCTATCGGCAAGAATGCATCCTTGTCACTAAAAGAGATTTTGTATTAGTTCCAGATCTTCGTAGCAGCTAAGAAAAGCAGACCCGAAAGTCGTCCTGCATGCAATGCATGCTTTATGGAATTACAACCAATACATAAATATCAACCGTTCCATTCTGGAAACATCGATATTGCAGTCGTTGCTACTGTATATCTTATTTTATGACAATCGGAGAGAGGGTCATTCTAGACACAAACACTGGCAAGTACCGAAAGTTGTTCAAATTAAGCGACATTAACTTTCACCAGAGAAGAATTCTTCCCTTATTGGATCTCGTGCTTCTCTAGTCAAAGGCAAAGTTTTGTTGACACGTTCTGCAACATTAAAGTTTTAGATGTTCTGTCACAAAAGGTGTCTGAGGAACTTGAAGACTGCGGCATGGAGTTAAGGGGAAAAGTGTAAATCAAGCAAGATGTGAAATGTTCAATAGAGGCAACAAGATCAGACATATCAATGCTACCACCATGTTTGCAAGCAGACCCTTGAGCACTTGAGCAAATTTAATCGCTAAAGAAAGGAACTTAAGCAGACGTATAAATGATTTGGTCAATAAAAATAGTATTCACAACAGATGGAATGATCAACTGAAGCAAAAAATGACTGAGACAGTGATGCCCATGGACTTCCAAGAACTTTTTTTTTATAATAAAGACGAAGACTTTCAGATTGCAGTGGTATTAGCAATACATGAAGATTACACAGTAAAGGACAATTATGTAATAAATGAATTAATGCCTTTATACATGAAGATTATGGTAGTTATTTGTGTGGTCCTCTGGAATACCTTGTGTAGTACACAAAAATAATGAAAAACTGTATATTTGTAAGGAAACTGGAATTTTTTTAGGATTCTGGTGATATTTTCCATTTTTCAAAACAGAATTTTTACTTACATTTCCAAAAGTGAGTTAGCTTACCACCCTAAAATATGTTAGTTTGGGTTTAAAAAGTCAACAGCAGTTATTACATTCATGTTTTGTAAATTACACAAATTTATTTAGGGTATTGAAGCTGCTGTTAAGTTTTTCTTTATTTTGGCGGCCATTTTAAAAAGCGCCCTCAATTTCCTCTCGCAATCTTCACATTAATAACTTTAGCTAATTATACTTTACTCCTATCATTTACATATTCAAAAGTTTGTCAAACCTACCTCTTCTGTGCTTATTTTACCCATATACATGTAGTTTATTGGATTTTGGCGGCCATTTTGAAAACACGCCCTCACACGAAAGTTCTCAGGTTACGCCCCTTTTACCTCACACATTCTGATTCCCCATAAAAAACTGGTCTAGAAAAACCATATGAGAATTTCTACCTCTTTTAATTATAGCCTGGTCTATATCTACCGGTATTCAAAATCAAAATAAATGACTTAAAATGACTTACATCTTGGATGGATCCTTTTCAAGGCCATGTCGCTCTCCACTATCCATGCTCAATGTTCCAGCACCACCACCAAATCCAACCCCCTTGGGACCATACTTTTTACCATGGCAGTTCTTGCAATAGAGCGATTTTTCATGCTCAGTTACAGTGGTCGAATCTAGCCTCTTGTTGCATAGTACTGCAAATTGCAAACATATGTTAGACTAACAATAACACTACATGCTAATATTATTATGGTAACGGAAAAAAAAGCTTTGGCGGCATGGTTTGAACATTGGGTGGGCCTGTCACAAGGAACCAGGCTGGTGCCAGGGGTCCCCAAGGACCACCAGTCGGGGTCTAGTGTCATGCTTAGTGATTTTTTGTTTTTTAATGTACCGTAAAAGCTTGAATAAGATGTAGGACCTATGATAGGCCTACTGCAGTACTGGAATACGTGAGATAGGTAACATGGGAACGGGTGTCATAGGAGCACCATGCTAATATTTTTTTTATAAGCGCCGCTCTCGATTAAGCGCAGTACTGAAGCCTCTAAAAATTTTATAAGCGCTGTGGCTTATTCGAGAACTTACGGTAATATTTCGAAATACCTTCCAACCACAATTAATTAACAATTTTCAAACTTTTTCTCCAAAAATTATTGGTGGGGCCTACTGAAGGGTTGGCCCTGTGCCGCCAGGAGAGAAGGTATAAGAATAAGGTATACAAAATGTACGATTGAAGTCACTATCACACAAAATCACAGTAGAGTACTTAAAAGGCATTAAATAATTTTCAAAAATAACAATAATAAATATAATGATGATTAATAATAATAAATGATAACAATAATGATAATAATAGTAATAAATTTGAAGGAATCAAATGCAAGTGTAAAATGAGTTCTGATACCAGAGATACAAGAAAAATATGCATTATTTTTATGTTGCCCTTAACTTATTCGAGAGCGGCGCATATTCGACCATTTAGGGTAGTCATCATAGACATTGATATGCTCTGTCCCTATTTTTATTTAGCACCCCTGTTTCAAAATTCTAGATATGCTACCGGTGCCTATAAAAAACATTTGTTACTTGAAACAAAGTCAGAAAAAATTACCCTTCACAGTGCATAACAGTGAGGTTTTCGAGGCATGAATGGAAGGTTGGCCGCAAAAACTTACCCAAGCAGCAGCTTTACAGGCCCGTAGGCAGGATTTTCGATGGGGAGGTGCGTTTTGCAACCAAAGTGGACCTTACGATGAATTAATTAACGATAATTTTGTGCTGTACTTTTTGCGAAACCCGTATTGATGCTTATAAAATATATTAACTTTTTCAAGGAAATTAGTTAGACGATCATTAAAAAAATTTTCAAGAGCTTTGGATAATACCGGTAATATAGAAATCGGGCGGTAGTTCCCTATGTTATCCTTTGGGCCTTTTTTAAATACTGGAACTACATGCAATCTTTGGGGCGTTTAGGAACTTTAAATTTGTAAATGAAAGGTTACAAAAACATAACATAATGGTATTGAGATATAGGGTGCTGCAACACAGTAATTTAGCTGGTACATTGTCTGAGCCAGTTGCTTTACCCTTATCCAAATTAGAGATCATATTAATAATTTCATACATTGTCATTTCTTTTAACGGAAATTTTGTTTGGTAGATCATATATTGTGATGTTACACCCAAGTAGCTCATTTATGGTAGACCATGTTTTAGTAGAGTTGTTTTTATTTTTTGTAAATAGTTTAGAAAAGTAGTTCTTTTTTGCTAATCGTATAATTAGTGTTAACATATTTCTATATTTTTTATATTGTGTAAATTTTGCAGGCTCAAAATTTGATTTAACAACTTTAGAGTATAATTTATGTTTTTTAATAATTGATTTTTTTTTATTGCTTTACTAATCCATGGTTTCTTTTTTATAAAACCTTTTAAAGAGCGTTGAACAAGGGGCGCATGTGAATTACAAATAATAATAAAAGTTGAACAGAAATAATCGTAAGCTACATCAACATCAGACGTAGAATATACATTTTCCCATGAAATATTTGATAAATCATGTAAAAACAATTCATGGTTAAAATGACTGTAGTCTCGAAATGAAACACACTTATTTTTCGTACTGATGCTGATGTGTTCAAAAATAGCAAACGTTGGAAGATGGTCCGAAATTTCACAAATTATAGTACCGTGATGGACAGAAGCGTTATGAATATTAGTGTAAATATGATCTAGTAATGTCTCGGAATGCCCAATGTAACTTGTTGGAGTGGTGATTAGTTGATTAATATTAAGGCATGATAGATTTGACAGAAATGAATCGCATTCAGTACTTAATGTTTCTAAAAGATTAAAATTAAAATCACCAATCAGGATACAACGTTTTTTTCTCTTATACACATCTGATGTGTATAAGAGACAGACTTATAGCTCAGTACAAATTAATGTACTCATGGTAATAATAATAATCGCACATAACAAAAACTAACAAGTTTGTACATACTCTGTCTCTTATACACATCTAGATGTGTATAAGAGACAGTTATAGTACCGTGATGGACATAAGCGTTATGAATATTAGTGTAAATATGATCTAGTAATGTCTCAGAATGCCCAGTGTACCTTGTTGGAGTGGTGATTAGTTGAGTAATATTAAGGCATGCTAGATTTGACATAAATGAATCGCATTCAGTACTTAATGTTTCTAAAAGATTAAAATTAAAATCACCAATCAGGATACAACGTTTTTTATCAATATTTATCGAGCACAATATATCAGGAAGACTATTATAAAACTCAGAGAGATTAGAATTATATTAATAAAATGATCTTTTTTATCTGACACATCCAACCAAAGAGACTCAGAATTAATCACAGTGTGATCAATAATTGTGTAATTTAATGAAGAGTGAATATAAGCAGCAACCCCGCCACTCCTATCGGATTCACGACGGTTATATTCAAACGAATATCCATTCAGTTCAAATAAACTGGGATTTTCCACTTGCCAAATTTCAGATAAACCAATGATTTTAAAATTACCTAATGAGTCAAGTACTGTATTGAATTCCTCAAAATTGTTATTAATAGATCAATACTAGCGTGGAAAACTGAAAGTGAATTTGGGAGAATTGAACTGAAACCGTCGCTAAATTCGGCAGGAGTGACGGTGATGCTCTTGTCAAAATCAGAATGTATCATGTCATCTTCCCTTAAGTTTGAATTATTATTATATTAAGTTTTAAGCAAACAAAACTTGTTTTTTTATGTCTTAAATAAATTAAAATAAAATATACAAACAAATAAGCAAATGCATATACATAGGCCTACGTTTTATCATAATTGGCATGCCAGTAACTATAGTTTACTCCGCCATAGTAAATACATATGAACAGTTTTCATATCAAAGTTATTATATACATGATACGATGAATGTGAGTCCCTTATTTATACAGCTGATCGTTAATGTAGAGGTTCCCATTACGGAATAGGGGCCTCTTTCCTTCTTTGTATGCCTTAGCAATAACATCCCTTAAGCCCCGTTTTTTCACCAAGTCCGCTTCAGGAAGATCCTCGGTTACAAAAATATTACTGTTTTTAAGTAACGTCTTCACTTTAATGTACACCTGGAATCGCTGGGGTCGGTAAAGGAATTTTGCAAATATGACGAGGCTTCTCGTTGGGTGCTCGGGGTTTTCCTATACGATGGGCATTTTCTATATCTATACCAGGCATTTTTAATTCATTGGCAATAAGATCCTTAATTTTCTTTATAGCATCTTCATTAGATTCCTCCTGTAGGCCTCCAAATCTCAAATTAAAACTTCTAGAATATCGTTCGATTTTGTTGATTTGAGTTTCTAGTGCCTCGATGATGGACTTGTCGTTTAAAACGTTCGTTGATACAGCTTTGAGCTCGATGGAATAATCGGCTACTTTCTTTTCAAGATTGGTTATCGACTCACTCGAATATTGTAGCGATGCTTCTATATCAACTTGTTCAGCTTCTATAACATCGATACGCCCAAGTATAATGTGCTGATTGCTTAGTACCGAGTCGATCTTAGTCGAAAGCTTCAGAATCTCTCGCCTCAGCGTTTCCGTGTTGGATTGGTCGGCCGTTCCCGATGGCTCAGGCGATACAGGCTCAGGCTAGGCCTTAAGTCTGCAGCAGCTGATTTCTCCCATTTTTTTACCCATATTGGCCTGTTTGGTCGTCAGCTTTTCAGTATATTATTATAAGTAATAAGAATTACTTACGATTTTTGCAAAATGATCACCGATTACTGTTAATTTTGGAATTATCTATGATTTCCGACGGAGCTACTGACGAAATCGTTGTTCACTCATGCGCCCTCATCGCATCGCGATAATTAGGAACGATTTTAGTGAGATAATAGGTTTTAAAAAGTGGACTTTTTGAAATTTGCTGGTCCAGGGGCAGAGGCCTGGAGGGGGTTTGTGAGAAAAGCGACAAAGTAGCATTTTGAGGGTCTTACATAATAAATATCTCAAACACATAATTTATGAATATTTCATTTAAATTTTCATTAATTTGAGTGTTTTTAGGACCTGAAAAAGTAACGTTATTATGTCCTGTACATCTGCAGGCCTGTAGATAACATTCTTCATATTATATAGATAAATCTGCAATCACCGGAGACGATCAATTTCTTTAAAATTTCATACCACATTATTACAAATCAATGGTTAGATAAGCTGGCAAATATATAATGCAATGCATGCTATAGCATTTTGTGATAATAAGAAAGATTTTGTGAAATCATAGGTTTTAAAAAGTGGACCTTTTGGAATTTGGGGGGGGGTGCATCTGCACCCTCTGCACCCCCCCCCCCTGCCTACGGGTCTGCTTTACCTTCATCTTCATCGTCTTGACTTCCCACCATCATCATGTTGATTATCACGGAACTGTCGGCAGTCCTCCACAGCTAATTGTTGGGCATAATTAAGTTTTAATTTCATTTGAATTTCAATTTCTTCTTTTTTTTCTCTTTTCCTTTCTTTTCTTCTTCCCTTCTTATTTTTTGATAAATTTGAAAAAGAAAAGGGAACCAGGTGGATTTGAGATCTTCATGTTCCTTATTCCACTCTCTCACTGTAAGAGGAAAGAAGGTCAAAAAACACTAGTCAGTTCTGTAGGCTGTAGATGAAAATTGGCTTGGATGCG